GCGCAAGAAATGCAACGCCGAGATGATGCGCAGGTGCATCTCCTTGTGCACCGCCAAGACCCGGAGGGAGATCTCCCAGAACGCCGAAGAGTATTGCCCCTACATCATGCGGGCGCAAGCCAGGCGCAACCTGCAAAAGATTGTGCCGTTCGTGCCCCTCGACTCGGACACCTTCTCCTTCTCGGTTTTCCTAGCTTGGATCTCGACCCAGAGCCCGTACAAACGAGCCGAGCAGTCCACGTCAGGCGAGTGCCTGTCCAACATGACCCACACGGTCGCCGCCCTTCTTGCAGACCAGGGCCAGGCGCATGTCGAGGCTACGGAGGCGATCCCTGAGGCGCAGCCTGCGTCGGCTCACACGCTCCGGGCACTCTCAGGAAGGGGTCGGGCATCCCAGAAGACGGTCACCCAGTACACGCTCGACGACATCAAAAAGTTCAAGCCTGACCGCATGCACCAGGCCAGGAACACGAAGACTATCGACTGGGCCATGGACGAGGCCGTGCCGACGGAGGACTCCCCAGCGTCGGATCGGCAACGCTTCGCAGTCTACCGCAAGGCGCTCGATGCCATCGTGGCGCCCAAGGGCCGGTCGAAGAAGCCAGACCCGAAGGTCCTCGCGGTCTTCAAGGACAAGGCGTCCGAGCTCGGCGTTCGCTTCGACGAGAAGCGATTTGGGGACTTGTCGCAGCTCCTGGCGGCCATCATGGCCAAGACGCGCTCGACAGAGATTTGACGATCTTCCCGTACACGCGCAGGAGCGCACCGCGCAAGCGGTGGTGTTTGGGATCTTCACGACGACGGGATGCCATGCATTTCCGGAACCCTTGAGATCCGATTTTGCAACATCACCTCTCTGGCATTGGTCCGCCATGCCTTCCACAGCGTGTACGCCGTGAATGTCTTCGTATGGCCATGCATTTTTGCATTCATTCGCATGGGCATTGCTCTCACCGCACCCTTCCTGATGTCCTCCACCACCGCCTTCTACAGCAAGCTCCGCACACTTGCATCCTCACTCCCATCCTCTACATGGCCACCGTCGCCGGACCTCCTGCATGCTGAATTTGTCGTGTACATAATATTGAGTCCCTGGCATAAGCATTACTACGTTGGCAAGACGATCGACTTCCAAGCCCGCGTGCGCCGACACCTACAGGGACTACTCTATCCAGGCAACTACAATCTAGTTGGTAACCCTTTGGTCCAGACTTCCCGCCTGCAGACCTTACCTGGTAACCCTTTGGTCTTAACTCGTGCAAACTCGTGCAAGCTCAGCAGGTTGTGATCGTCACCGGGACTCGGAGTCAAAACGGTGTATACGTTACTTGGCTTCCCACTCACAGGACCAGGCGCGGAGGTAGAGGGGCGGGGAGGGGAGGGAGGGGACACTCATAGAATTCAACAAAATCCCCACGAACCCGGCACAGTACGTGCAGTGCCGGGGGTGGCGGACCGTCTCCCCATCCTGCCATCAAAGGGGGATGCGAAGTCCCTGGAGACGGGACGGGGTAGGCATTGGCTGGCATCATAGCCGACCCACAATCAATGGAGGCATCAAAGCCTCTGACCATCATACTGTCTAGGCTGATCCACTCACGGATCCAACACCTCATCTTCTACTCAATTCATTCCATGCGTAGCATGCTCTCCCAACCCTCGAAAATGGGCAACCGTTCCGCAGGTCGCAGCCCCACCGGGCTGGCGAGATCAAATTTGAGTCTGAGTAAGGCGTCGCTCCGCTGGACCCCCCAGGAGCCTTCCAAAGTGGCGACAGATGTCGCACATCGCAGCCCCCTAGGGATGCCGAGGTCACATCTGAATCTGTGTAAGACGTCACTCCGCTGGACCCCCCAGCAGCCATCGAAAGTGGCGACGGTTTCGCAGATCGCAGCCCCCCAGGGATGGCGAGGTCTCATCTGAGTCTGGTTAAGACGTCACTCATCTCGACCCCCCAGCAGCCCTCGACAGTGGTGACAACTTCGCAAGTCGCAGCCCCCCCCCCGGGATGGCGATGTCAAATCTGAATATGTGTAAGACGTCACTCCGCTGGACCCTGCAGCAGCCCTCGAACGTGGCAATATATTTCGCAGATCGCAGCCCCCCAAGGATGGCAATGTCAACTCTGAATCTGGGTAAGACGTCACTCCGCTGGACCCCTCAGCAGCCCTCGAACGTGGCGACAGATGTCGCAGGTGGCAGCCCCCCGAGGATGGCGAAGTCTCATCTGAATCTGGGCAAGACGTCACTCCGCTGGACTGCCCAGCAGCCCTCGAAAGTGGCTACAGTTTCGCAGACCGTAGCCACCCAGGGGTGGCGAGGTCTAGTTTGAGTCTGGGTAAGACGTCACTCCGCTGGACCCCCCCAGGCAGCCCTCGAAAGTGGCGACGGTTTCGCACATCGCAGCCCTTCAAGGATGGCGATGTCAAAATTGAATATGGGTAAGACGTCACTCTGCTGGACCCCCCAGCAGCCCTGACAAGTGGCGACAGCTTCGCAGATCGCAGCCCCCCCCAGGGATGGCGAGGTCACATCTGCATGTGTGCAGGTGGCGACATATTTCGCAGATCGCAGCCCCACAGAGCGGACGAGGTCTTATTCTGAAAATGGGTAAGGTGTCACTCCGCTGGACCCCCAAGCAGCCCTCGAAAGTCGCGACCGTTTCGCAGATGGCAGCCCCCCAGGGATGGCCAGGTAGGAGGCAAGCTGGCACGCAGGAGGGAGAAAAGTCAGAGGCTGGAGACAAGGGGAGAAGGGGCGGGGCGGAAGGAAGGAAGGAAGGTGTGCGACCGCAGTGCTCTTTGCAAGGCGAATACTCAACGCAAGAGGGTTGGGGAAAACAATGGTTTTGAAAAGTGGCGCGTGCAATTCCGATGCGTTTCTGTGGCGGTCTGTGAGATCGGACCGCCGTTCGAAATACTTGCAGCACTGCCCACGCGAGGCCCCAGGCAAGTTGCCCAAAACGGGCAGTCAAGGCGCAAGCCCGTGAAAGCAATTATCCTGGCGAAAGGCCCAACCACATGCAGTTGTGAGCACCGCAATTGTCGGTGACAATCCCTATGGGGCCACGAACCGTGTCAGGTGTGTGCCGACATCGGTGGCGCGGGCGCATGTGGACACCGCCACTGGTGCCTTCGGTGGGGCTCCCTATGGGGCCACAAAACGTGTGAAGGGTGTGCCGAAATGGGTGGCGCGGGCGCATGTGGACACACCCACTGAGGCATTCGGTGGAGCTCCCTATGGGGCCACGAAGCGTGTGAGGGGTGTGTCGAAAAGGGTTGCGCGGGCGCATGTGGACACACACACACACACAGAGGCCTTCGGCGGAGCTCCTTATGGGCCCATGAAACGTGTGGGAGGTGTGCCGACATGGGTGGCGGACGCATGTGGACACCGCCAGTAAGGCCTTCGGTGGAGCTCCATATGGGGTCACGAAGCGTGTGGGGGATGTACCGACGTGAGTGGCGCGGGCGCATGTGGACACCACCACTGGGGCCTTCGGTGGAGCTCCCTATGTGGCCACGAAATGTGTGAAGGGTGTGAAGAAAATGCTGGCGCGGGCGCATGTGAACACCACCACTGGGGTCTCCGGTGGAGCCCCCCATGGAGCCGCGAGACGCGTGAGGGATGTCCCGAAGCTGATGGCGATGATGGTGATGATGATGGCGATGGTCACGGCAATGGTGGTGGTAATGAAGATAATGATGATGGTGATAATGATGATAATGACGATGATGATGATGGTGATGATGATGACGGTGATAATGATGATGATGGTGATGATGATGATGACGATGATGATGACGATTTCTTTTCGTTGCGTTTCGTTTCGCAAGCGTCTTGCAATGGCGGCTCCTGGCCCCGACGCTGCTGAGTTGATCTACTTGCTAGAGGGCAGCCTGGGTTATCTCAAAGTTTGGCGTTGTTCAAGCCAAGCGCGCTGACCATCAACCCATGACTGCTTAGAGTATGGTTTGGCGAGCCAGTCGAAACCAAACTAGTTAAAGAAATCTCTCTCCCAGCGCCATATTCCCACGGTACGGCGGTGCAACTGGGAGCCCGAGGAACGTTGCATTGACGTCATCCAGGACCTATCCCGATACATAAGGACGCGGTAAGCTATGCGATCGGGGCTGGACTGTGCCATCCCCTGGAGGTGTCCTGCCCAAACGTGGGACAGGCGTCTACAAGTTTGCGGCCACGGCTCGATATCATGTCTAGTGCGGATGGCGGCTACTTGTGACATGGCATTCTTCATATATGCATCTGCAGTGTCTGATGGGGGCGGGCGAACTATCCGCCTCAGCATGGTATTGTGAATTTGGAAAGGCGGCTAAGCCCCGAGACCGACAGACGCAGGACCCCGACACAGTAAGTGAGGGCGGGGCGGACACAGCGGTCAAGGGTTTTAACTCGCTTGCTGAGGCTGATGTTGGGGTTGGCGGGCATATTCTTGCGCACAGCCCACGTGCGCCACGCACGTTGGACCCTGTTGCCGACCTCCGCCGCTCAGCTCCGATCAAAAGCTATGTACGTTCCTAAAACCTCGAGGCCATCCGCCCTTTCGCGGCAGGGGATCAAGGTGCCTCTCACGCGAAGCGTGCCGATATAAGTGAGATACGTGTGGCACCACTCCATCTTATTTACTGGAACCCCCTGGCCGCTTGCGTTTAAAATGCGGAGCCAGGACTCGGTCATTACTGCGGCCATCGAGGCCGATCGAGCTAAAATCCAGAAGTTGTCGGCCAAGCTTAAAATACCTAGGTTCAAATATTTCCCCCCCCCTCCCCCCCCCCCCCCCCCCCCCGGCAACGTGAGACAGAGCCCCCACCCGTTTTTGCGGCAGAGGTGCTGAAGTGCCCGGAGGTCCGCGCCCAGGAAAACATTGCTCAGCTCGGGCGCCGCGGCCCCCCCCCTGTGTCAGGCCCCTCTCCCGACGGACCCGTTTGGTGAGAGGATTGCCAGGCGTTCTGATGCGAGCGGCAGAGTTGCGGGTCTCTCTAATCCAGAAACTGCTAGCGACGCGGGACACTCCATGCTCGTCGAGGCGCTGTGCCAGGAGGGGATGTCGGATATAGTCATAAAACTTACGGATATCACCCCCAACGACCACGAGTGGCGGGTCTCGATATTCACAAAATTTTTCAACTAGATGGCGGAGGCCATATACAATCTCGCGCGCCTGATAGCTACGACGGAACGCAAACTGGCACTCAGAACGATCGGTCCCCAGGATAGGCCGCTGGACCTCCAGGACCATCATCGACAGGATTTTCAGCAGCACCGAAACCAGGGCAATGGGTCTGATCTCGGCCACCTTCTGGGCCTCAGGTTTCTCGCGGATCAGCTGAACGACGTGCCCCGTCCAGGCCTGGTCGAAATACTCACTCACATGATTGCAGAGTCTCAGGCGAAACGCCGCGAGGATCTTTTCGAGAGCATCGTCCTGGAGCCCCTGGACCATCTCAGCCACGATCATGTCAGACTCGGCGCACGATTTGCGACTCTTCAGTTGCCCGATGACTGTTTTGAGAACAGGAAGTGGGAGAGGGACCTCCGCCTGTCGGTGCTCGGCGGCCCACTGGCTACGCACCCAGGCGGGCAGAGCCTGGTCGCTGGTCGGGTCGGCAAACAAGTCGGCGTAGAAGGCGCGGGTCAGCTCGCAGCGGGCCTGCACGGCGCTGGCGCACTGGCCGTCGTCCGCCTTCAGCTCGTAGACGGGCTTGCCCGAGCGGCGGGGTCTGTCGGCCCGCCCTCTCGCGCACGAGCGCCCCAGGTGGACAGCGTTGCAGCGGCCCCTCAGGGCGCGCTTGGCCGTGGCCACTGCGGGCCCCAGCAGGTGCCGCACGCGCAAGTCCGTCTCCTGCGCGCGCAGCTGCTCCAGGCGCTTCAAGCGGAGAAGCTCGGGGTCGCCCCGCGGATGCCCCCGGCGCCCACCTCGAGAGGCGCGGCCCGCCACAGCCGCGCCAGCGGAGATCGCCGTCGCCAGCGCGGAGATGGACGGGGTGCCCTGTCTGGAGCACGCGGCGGCAAGCCGTGGCTGCGGGTAGAAGAGCTGCGCGAAGGTGTCGCCGCCATCCTCCCTGGAAATATCCGAGCAACGTCTTTTGCGGGCTCTGGTCGCGGCGAGCTTGCGTTCGCTCACTCGTTGTCGATACTCTTCCGCTCCCCAGTCGTGAGCAGGGCATGGCCGTCTCCAATGAGCAGTGTTGAAACGCCTGTCCGCCCCCCGTTTCGCCCAGAAGTCCGCCTTCTCATTGCCTATGTTGCCGCTGTGTCCCTTGACCCAGCGCATGTGCAAGTCGAAGTTCAAGGCAGCCCTCTCCCACAGGTGCACGGCCAGAATCGCCAAGTGTGCATTCTCACGTGGTTGGAAGACTTCAGCGAGGAGTCCCTGGACGCACGTCGAGTCGGTAATCACCTGGATGAGCCTGCCACCTTGGGCCGTCGGCTCCGGGAGCCGCGCTGTCCCAGCAGCCATAGGAGCGCCCCCACGATCGCCGAGAGCCCCCGCGTGTTCGCCGTGAGAGCACAGGCGCACAAGTAGCGAGGGTCCTGAGGGTGGGTGGCCACGGGGCCGCACGCCTCGACCATCGGCCCACCCTGGTCGCGCGGCGCGGTGGCGCGGTAGACAGCAAAGCCCCATCCTGCGCAAGAGGCCTGGCGCTTCCCACGTCGTCGCCCCCGCGCCGAGCCGCCCGTGAAGATGCCCGAGGTCGCCCTCGGTGAGGCCGTCCATCGCGGTCGGGAAGTACGGCACCTGCAACGTCGAGCAGACCGTCGCATTGAATAGGTAGGCGCCCTCTAGCTGCCAAGCGACAGGCTTGCGCGGCGGCCGCCCCATCAGATTTGCGTCCTCGAGGGCTTGCTCGGGCTCGGAGATCGTCGGGATAGCCTTGGACGCGTGGCGGCGCAGCAATAAGGGAAGATGGTCGCTCTGCTCTGCATCCGTGAAGCGAGCCTGCCTGGCACGTCACTGGGGTGAGCCAGTCGCGGTGGCACAGCATGAAGTCGATCTGGCATGGCCCCTTACGGTTGTCGCAGTAGCACGCGGCTTGCCCCCACTGTCCTCGGGGGAAAGTGCGGGTGGCAACCAAGTCGAATTCAGTCATCAAATCGAATAGCATCCCGCCCCGCCATGTCATCTTGGTGGCCGAGTATTGGCCAACCGTCTCTCCGTCCCCAATCCCCAGGCCATACTGGGCGTCAACGCTGGCCATGGCGTGGCAATCAATAGGCATCGTAATCAGACACTCCCTGAGCTGCGCGATGGTCTCAGCGCACTCACAACGAACAATGCGCGAAAGCTGGTGGTTTGCAATCAAACGAACGCGCCCCCAGACAGGCAACTGCAAGTCCAGGGACATGGTGCGAGTGTGGAAGCTCGGCGGGCTCACGGTGGAAGGGGCCAAAGACTCGTGGACCGCGATCGCGCATCTTTGCCAGGCCCCCGCTGGAGGCGACACGTGAACGACATAGCCATCGAAGAGCTGCTCGGCTCCACCAGCCACGCACCACTCTTGGAAAAAGATAACACGGGCATCAAATTCTGCGCGCATATCGTCGGAGAGCTCTTGCCGCCTCCTGGATCCACGGACGCCTCTTACATTCCACCCCAGAAAGGCAAGGTCCCTGACGCCCCTGGCGAAGCGGCGGCCCCTCGACTTGAATCACTGGGGCCTGGGAGGGTCATTGATCTCCCCGAGCCGCTCAGGGAGTCTGAACTCTGCGAGCTCCTGGCCCAGCAACGACTTGACAAGCGGCTCGGCGCAGATCTCCATCAGATCCGTGGCGCGCGAGCGCTGCAGGATCCTGATCGGCCTCTCGCTCCCGTCGCGGCGAAAAAACACCTGACCACGATCCCAGTCGCCGTCGAAGGTCTTCATCTTCGAGTCCGCTGTGCAGAGGTTCTTGGCTTCCCCGCACTCTCTGAGCAGCCTCACGGCGTAGGAGACGCGCCTCGAGAGCTCCACCTCGTGGGGCTCCTGGGGCTCCTGGTCTACTTCGTGCCACAGCTGGTCACTCTTGGCCCCTTGGCACGGTATCTTTCGCCCCTTCCAGGCCTTCATGAAGTTCCACATCTGCCGACTGCTCCCGAAAACCACTTTCGCCTGATCACAGAATCACCCAACACCGTAGATCTCTGCGATGCCTTGCGACTCGAGCGAAGCCCTCTCGCTCAGCTTCGCTCGAAGGTGGGCCTCGACCTCGCCCTTGTCCCACGTACCAGGGAAGTCCGCCACGAACACCACATGCTTCGTATTCTTTCCTCCGCGCCGGGCCTGGGGAGCTACGAACTGGTGCTGATCGCTGGGGGCCCTGCGCAGGTAGTCACCCCACGGGTCAGCCTGGCACGCTTGCCCTGCTCCCAGCCCTGGTCGCAGAGGAGCTCCATGGCCTGCAGCCGCGCTGGCATTCGACGACGGAGCTCGCGAGGCTGCCTCCAGAGCGTCGAGTCGAGCGCGCTGAGCCCGCTGCTCCGCCTGGATGGACGAGATGGAGGCCGAGCTGGTGCTCACCGTGGTCTGCAGTGCCGCGACCTGGGCCTCGACGGCGTCCACCTTCACACTCATACTACTGGTCACCGCGCTGATGATATACTGGGCTAACGCCATCTGCGACGGGTCCTGAGGGGGTGGCGGCAGCTTGGCGCGGCCTCCTCCCGCTGTGGCAGCCAGGCCGGCTCCGCCAGCTGCAGCTGGTCCAGCCTCGGCGTCCGTCAGCTCCTCGTCGTCCAGCTCCACGGCAGGGGGCTCACCTGTCTTCTGGCGGATCCGACGGCCGTCGGCGTCAGCCCCCGCGCCGCTCGCGGCCGCAGCAGCGCCAGGAAGCGGGGGCATCGGCGCGAACATGGCTGCAGCAAAATGCGCGCTCCAAGTTCGTCTGGTGAGAATGCGAGGAAGCGAAAGACTCGGGCCAGGCCGAGCAAAAAAAGACGTCTCAGGTCGGCGGGCGCTCGACCAGGACACGGAGAATGCCCGTCCTGCCAGGGTGCCGTCTTGAGCCAAAATGATGACGATGGTGACGACGACGACGACGACGATGATGATGATGATGATGATGATGATAATGATAATGATAATGATGATGATGATGATGATGATGGTGGTGGTGGTGATGATGATGATGATGATGATGATGATGATGATGATGATGATGATGATGATGATGATGATGATGATGATGATGATGATGATGATGATGATGATGATGATGATGATGATGATGATGATGATGATGATGATGATGATGATGATGATGATGATGATGATGATGATGATGATGATGATGATGATGATGATGATGATGATGATGATGATGATGATGATGATGATGATGATGATGATGATGATGATGATGATGATGATGATGATGATGATGATGATGATGATGATGATGATGATGATGATGATGATGATGATGATGATGATGATGATGATGATGATGATGATGATGATGATGATGATGATGATGATGATGATGATGATGATGATGATGATGATGATGATGACGATGACGATGACGATGACGATGATGGGAGGAGGGACGAGGGGGAGAAAAGGAAGACGTGGACGCGGGGCGCTGTCTCTTCAAAACGAAGACCCCACACCACAAGATGGTTGGGAAAGAAACCATTCTCAAGGCCAAGACCTGTCACAGTGGGATCCTTTGTCCCGACCTTAGTCCCTACCACCTACAGTACTCTCTACGCGCTATAAGACTGTAAGATCCCTACTCCCTGCCCTCCCTACCCTCTTGGATCCCTGGATAAATCTACCCTCCCTACCCTCCCTTGGATCCCTACTCCCTCCCCCACCTCTTGGGGCCTCCGAAGCCTGCGGATTATGAATATCTGTGGAGGCCGTCGCCGTCATCGATCGATCATCGCCATTGTATTCGTCGTCAGACCTCTGAAGGCCGCCGGGGCTCCTCGTCGTCACTGTCGTCGTCGCCGTGGTCGTCGCGGTTGTCTTCGTGGTCGCCGTTGGCGCCGCCAACGCCGTCGCAGCCACATCTAAGATCGGGGAGGGAGAATGACGGATCCAGGGTCGAGTATCGAGGTTTGTAAATGATCATGTGCCATCTTGGGCCTGGCGGGGTCACTTTCGTCGCCGCGGTTGTCCAGGGCTTGAGGTTCCCGCCAGCGCTCGTCCAGCTTGCCGGCTCTGGCCGCCGCGGGCGCTGCAGCCGCGGCCTGCGTCGTCGTCGTCGTCGTCGACCACTCGCGCTACCCTCCCTTGGATCCCTACTCCCTCCCCCACCTCTTGGGGCCTCCGAAGCCTGCGGATTATGAATATCTGTGGAGGCCGTCGCCGTCATCGATCGATCATCGCCATTGTATTCGTCGTCAGACCTCTGAAGGCCGCCGGGGCTCCTCGTCGTCACTGTCGTCGTCGCCGTGGTCGTCGCGGTTGTCTTCGTGGTCGCCGTTGGCGCCGCCAACGCCGTCGCAGCCACATCTAAGATCGGGGAGGGAGAATGACGGATCCAGGGTCGAGTATCGAGGTTTGTAAATGATCATGTGCCATCTTGGGCCTGGCGGGGTCACTTTCGTCGCCGCGGTTGTCCAGGGCTTGAGGTTCCCGCCAGCGCTCGTCCAGCTTGCCGGCTCTGGCCGCCGCGGGCGCTGCAGCCGCGGCCTGCGTCGTCGTCGTCGTCGTCGACTCTGCACGTTGTTCGCGCGAGTTTGGATGTAAGTTTAGTTTGGCGTCGTCCTGCTCTCGCCCTCCTCCTCCTCCTCCTCCTCCTCCTCCTCCTCCTCCTCCTCCTCCTCCTCCTCCTCCTCCTCCTCCTCCTCCTCCTCCTCCTCCTCCTCTCCTCCTCCTCCTCCTCCTCCTCCTCCTCCTCCTCCTCCTCCTCCTCCTCCTCCTCCTCCTCCTCCTCCTCCTCCTCCTCCTCCTCTCCTCCTCCTCCTCCTCCTCCTCCTCCTCCTCCTCCTCCTCCTCCTCCTCCTCCTCCTCCTCCTCCTCCTCCTCCTCCTCCTCCTCCTCCTCCTCCTCCTCCTCCTCCTCCTCCTCCTCCTCCTCCTCCTCCTCTATTTCTATTTCCCATGCCGACCAAGGTCATTGACCACTAACAGGCTGCAATATTACGCCCCTAAGGGTGACAAAAAAACGCAAATGCCGAAACGAGGTCCCATAGCATGCGAATGATAAGCCAGGACAGCAAAAACGCCCAGTGCACCCCCACAACCTCACAGAGCAAGGCTGAACTCTTCCTCCTCCTCCTGCTCTGGCTCCTGCGGTGGGATTCGGATGATCCGCTCGGATGCTCACGGAGAATCTTCTGGGATATCGATGCAAATGCTTCCGGAGAGGCTTCCGGAACCATGGCCCCGGTGCCCGTGGCGAATCTCTGGGCGGTTGCTGCGACTCGTCTTAGGTCTTGGGGCTGGCTTGGGGACGAAGGAGTGGGGATGTGCTCTGACGTGTTCGGAAATATTCGAAGGCTCTTGGCAGCTTTCCAGCGCCCTTTCGGAAGTCCTCCAATTGGTCTGGAAGGAAACATCAACACTCTAGCACCATCGAGGAACATTACCAAAAAGACATGTGTGTTTGCCTCTTGGCGACTTCTTGGGGGTCCCATCGAGGCCTTGTCGAAGCGTCATGGGGGCTCCTGGAACCGTCTTGAAGCAATGTTAGGCCGCCCCAAAACATTTCGGAAGCCCGCGGGGCGCCTGGGGGCTACTGGGCTATCGGATGCCCCGGTTGGCGGTGCCAGCGAATGTGGGGCCCTTCTCCAGGTTATTTTGGAGGCGTCGTGCGCGCTCGTGCGAGGTATCCTGGGCCAACGTAGGGCGGTCTTGGAGGCTTCTGGGACCAGAGGTCTGATACCGCTAAAACTGCATGCTTTTCACCCTGGAAGCCTTCTCGGCAATCCTCTAAGGGCCTTCCCAGAGCGGCGTGGGGGCTTCTGGATCCGCCTCGAGGCAACGTTGGGCTGTCAGGGCGCCTGGGAGCCTTTTGGCGACGTCTTAGGGTTGGCTGGCAGTATCCGCGTCTGTGGCGCCTACATGTGGGCTCTCGTGGAGGCGTCGCCTAGGCCTTGGGGAGCTCTACTGCGCCGTCTTGGGCCTTTCTGAGCGGTCTCGGGTTCCCTTCTCGGAGGGTCGCAGGGGCTTCTGGGGCCATGCTGAAGCACTCTGGGACCGTCTCCAATCCCACCAGCCCTTTGGGCGTGAGTGGTTCAGCGAGCTCTCTCTGTTCTCAACCCCCTAACCCCCTATCTTCCCCTTCGGGGAGGGGTTTACCCCTCCCCCTACCCCCTCCCCTGGACCTGGAGAGGGCGTCCCGAGTGTAACCAAGGGGGTCTTTTTCGACTCCTGGGAGGGCCAAAAAACGACGACCCTCACGAGGATTCTGGCCCCCAGAGGGGGGAGGGGGGGGGGGGAGTTTGGCGCCTCTACTCCTCTTCGAAGCAGAAATCATTGATTTTACTATGGTTTTGGCCCCATTTTGGACTTCTGAGGGGGCCGCGCTCATCGTCCTTCCTAGCAAAATCATTGATTTTACGAAGGTTTTGGGCTCATGTTGTACTTCTCAGGGGGCAGCTCTACTTTGCGCTTCTGAGGAGGTCGCAAGAGGCCCCAAGATGACCCCAAGAGGCCCCCAGGAGGCTCCCAAGAGGCCTCCCAGAGGCCCCCAAGAGGCCCCCAAGAGGCCCCAAGAGTCCCCCAAGAGGCCCCCAAGAGGCCCCCGAGAGGCCCCAAGAGGCCCCAAGAGGCCCCCAAGAGGCCCCCAAGAGGCCCCCAAGAGGGCCCCAAGAGGCCCCAAGAGGCTCCAAGAGGCCTCCAAGAGGCTTCACGAGGAGCCCGAACCACTCACACCAGGACGAGGGGCCCCAACGACTCACACCACGAAGAGCCCGAACGACGCACATCACAAGGAGGGGCCCGAACGACTCACACCAGGACGAGGTGCCCGAACTACTCACACCACGAGGAGCCCGAACGACTCACACCACGACGCGGGCCCTCAACGACTCAGACCACGGGAAGCCCGAACGAGTTACATGAGGAGGAGGGGCCCGACCGACTCACACACAAGGAGGGGACTCATACCACGAGGAGCCCGAACGACTC